CAGATCCTCTTTTGTTGCCAGTTCAGAGAGTCCAGGTGGTTGAGTATCAGAGTGTTCCATCTCGTTTCCCTTTGGGATTGCTGTAGGTGATCTGGAAGTCTGTTTTTGAGGCTTGTTTATGTGTCTTCTCATTTCCACGGTGGGTGTGTGCTTCTGGCACCCACTCGGCTCACCTTCTCTGCCCTAGGAGCTTGGGATGGAGGCAGGGAGCTTCCTTCCGGGTGCTGGGACCTGCTGAGCTTCACTGCCCTAGGAGCCTGGGATGGCAGCAGGGGAGCTTCCTTCCGGGTGCTGGGACTGGCTCACCTTCTTGGCCCTAGGAGCCTGGGATGGCAGTGGGGGAGCTTCCTTCCGGGTTCTGGGACCGGCTGAGCTTCACTGCCCTAGGAGCCTGGGATGGAGGTGGGGAGCTTCCTTCCGGGTGCTGGGACCAGCTCACCTTCTTGGCCCTAGGAGCCTGGAATGGAGGCAGGGGAGCTTCCTTCTGGGTGCTGGGAGTGGCTGAGCTTCACTGCCCTAGGAACCTGTTTTAGTCTTTAAATTGAATCAGTTTTTCATAATCATTTTTCAGACTTTTACTAGTACACGTTTACAGTACATAATGCTTAACGTTCCTTTTGTGGAATTGGTACATTTGCATAACACATCCGTAATTATTTTTTCATCTCTTTCCTTCTCTCTGCCCCATCCCTCTCTTGGTCCCCTTCCCTTTTGAGAAAGATCTATCTTCCTACTTCCTAGTCCTACTGTGTCTTTATTTGAAAGCCTTTGTTTTGTAGCATTACCAATATAAATACATCCTGTTATTATATGGGGATAAATTACATAAAGTTTTTTTCTATCCAACTTATATTTTTGAGTGACTAAATTTCTTAAAGTTTATGGGTGGAGAAGTAATGCAATGAGTAAAGAGTTAAAATGATTGAAGAATTACATGGAGACAGTTTGAGTAAAAAATACTACATTTACAGAGAAATCAGTAAACGTAATGATTGAAAGGTAGCTCTGAAAGAAGTCAAGAGATTCAGGAGAATGGTGGGTGCAAAAGCCAGACTGTAATAGATTCAGAATAGACAGGGTGGTTAAGTAAGAGAGATATTTTGCACTTATGTAAAGAAAAAGCTTTGCACTCACTATTTTGCTTTAGGTTTGCTAAAATTTCTCCTATTGGTGGATAGTTTAACAATTGCCATGATGAGTATCAGTGAAATAAAGAAGGCACTTCAAAGATAAAGCAGATTTTTTTAAAAAATCATAATCATTTTTAAAGGATAGATTTTATAAAAATTATTTGTGCTGTTCATAAAAATTTGTGTTTATATAGTTTAAGCCAGTGGTTCTCAAGTGTGGGTGATTTGCCCCTGTGGAGATATTTAGCCAATTCTAGAGATATTTCTAGTTGTCACAACAGAAAACAGGGATGATGCTAAAATCTGTTGTCGTGTACACAACAAAGAGTTACCCAGTTCAAAATGTCAGTAGTCTCAAAGGTCTAAAGTTTCTCTTTGTCTTCTTGAGTTCACTTTTGCTGTCATGCACATAGGCATATACACGGCTCCTTTCAGCTACAGTTCTGGCTACACTTAAATGAGGCTTGGAACAGGGAATCCCACTTTTTT